CTCCCTATTCACCTGCTCTTCCCTTGAGCAACTTTTTGTTGTTTCCACAGATGAAAGAAGTCCTGAAAGGGAAACATTTTGCCAATGTGGAAGAGGTAAAACAAAAAACAGCAGAAGTACTAAAGGGCATCAAAATTGATGAGTTCAAAACTGTTTCGAGCAATTGAAAAAGTGTCTCGATAGGTGTATTGCATCAAATGAAGAATACTTTGAAAGTAACTGAAGTTTAAACATGCAAGGATAAATTCACAATTTTTAATAAATAAATTGCAGGGTTTTTTGGGTTCCCCCCGGAACACATGGGTACCTCAGGATGAATGAATGAGGACTGGATACTGCAGAGTCTTCCCTGAACACAGTACCCTGTGCAAGGGGCCCAGATTTGAAATAAGGGAAGAAAGGGGAGAGGCAAACAAAATTTGAAAAATGGAATGCTCAAAATGTTTCCAAATTTCATGAAAACTACAAATCCACAGAGCTAAGCAGCTTAATAAATTCCAAGGACTAGGAAAACAGAGAAAACAACACCAAAGCATATCATAATCAAATTACTTAAAACTAATTATAGAAAAAAATCATAAAGGTAGCCAGAGGAAAAAAGTTGAGACTATTAGGAAAAAAAAAAAAGAAAAAAAAAAAAACTAGAAGACAACAGAATAAGATCTTTAAAATTCTGAAAAGGGGAAAAAACTGTAAACCTAGAATGCTATACCATACATGTTTTCAGAATAAAGGCACAGGAAGACTTTTTCAGGCAAATAAAAGTTGAAAGAATTTATCAACAGCAGATCTACACTATCAAAAATGTTAAACTATTGCAGGTAGAAGAGTGGTACCACATGGAAATCTGAAGTTATATTAAAAAGCAAAGACCATCAGAAAGGGATAAATTTAAGGGTAAATATAAAATAATTAACAATTAAAAAAATTTTTCTTTAAAGAATAATTTAGTTTAGCGTCCAGCTATGATGTAGTAACAGGGACTAGATATATTCTTTCACCTGAACTATATTCACACATACATAAATGGCAAAATATTGGAAACAATTTTTTTAAAGCAGTTGACATTAGGCAATGAAGGACAGGGATCCTTAAAAGACAGGAATCAAGGTGAACTTTATGACCACCCTTGCTTATTGCCTTGAGAGTTCCCAGTCCACAGTGCAGGAAGGCAAATCCATGCAAAGCCAAGTAGACTCCCTGAGAAAAGGAGCAGAGAGAACAGTCTGAGTAGATCAAGCTGGCTAGAGTTGGTAGGGCAGAATTACAGAAAAGAGTGAGATGCACTGAGAACTCCAAAGATCTAGAAATGGTCTACTTTGAGTACTGAGGAGCGTATTGATCACCACATGTGTGGAAGTAAACTCTCTGAGGCCAGGAAAATAATTACCCAAAAAGATTAGAGGGCCACCCCAAGCACAAAAAACATTAAAAATTATATCAAGATACATTATACTCACAATACTCAAAAACAATGATAAATGGAAACTATTAAATACTGCAAGAGTAAAAAAAATACAATAGATATGGAAGAGCAAAGATAAAAATGACAAAACTTATCTGAAATAATTCAAGTAAGAAGATAATTAAACAAGATGTTTTACTAATATAACAAAGATAATGTTTAAAACACTATAGAAAAATGTTAATCTGGAATCCTACACTCAGTAAAAATATCTTTCAAAAACAAATGCAAAACACAGAATTTATCAGAGAAATAAAAGCTGAAATTTAGCACCAGTCAATTTGCACTACAAGAAATGTTAAAAGATATCCTTTAGGCAAAATAAAAATGGTATCAGGAAAAAAAAAAACCCCGAAAACCACCATCAACAAAAAAACAGGTCTACACAAAATATTGAGAAGTACCAGAAATGCTAACTACATGGGCAGATACATAAGATTATTTTTTTCTCATTATTTAACTCACTTTAAAGAAAAATATGCTGTTTAAATAAAGTAGTAAAAAATGATAGCACATGCTAATTATAACATATGCATAAGTAAAGTAACAAAAATAGCATAAAGGCTGGGAAGGGAAAAATGGAAGCTTCTTATACTAAATGGAAAGTGGCAAAATATCACTTCACAGTAGACTGTGAGAAGATACAAGAGTATACTATACAGAAATCTCCAGTCTCAGATGATTTCACTGAAGAATTCTACTAAGCATGTGAAGAAAAATTAATACGAATCCCACACAATTTCTCCTGGAAATAGGAGAAAATATTACCTAGTTCATTTTATGAAGCTGGTATTGCCCTGATACCAAAATCAGACAAAGACAGTATAAAAAACAAACAAACACTACAGACCAGTATCCTTCATGAATATAAACACAAACATTCATAACAAAATATTAGTGCAATATATTAAAATAATTACACCGTATGACCAAGGAAGCTTATTTCAGGAATGCAAAGCTGACTCAAACTGATCATCATAGTAACAGACTAAAGAAGAAAAATCACATGATTAACTGTTGCAAATAAATCATTTGAGAAAAATTCAACAACCACTCATGATAACACCTCTCAGAAAACTAGGAATGATGAGGAACTTCATCGATTTGACAAAGGATACCCATAAGTATACTACAGTTAATATATTTAATGGTGAAAGGCTGAATACTTTCCCCTCATGACTAAGACCAAAAAGCAAGGAAGTCTGCTCTCACCACTCTTATTCAGCATAGTACTAGATGTTCTAGCCAGTGTAATAAGCAAATAAAAGAAAATAAAAGGCACACATTTGGAAAGGAAGAAATAAAACTATTAAGTATATAAAATTGAGTAACACAGTCATTAAGAAAATGCAAATTAAACCACAATGCAATACCACTATACACTTACTAGAATGGATAAAACAGATTAGTCACATGAGTGCTGGCAAGGATCTGGAGCAACCAGAAGTCTCATACAACAGCTGGCTGACAAGTACTCTGGAAAATAGCTGGCCAGTTTCTTAAAAGGTTATTAAGTATACCTACAATATAACCAAGCCATTCACAGAGAAATGATAATATAGGTCTGTGTAGAGACTTTTACATGAATAATCATAGCAGCTTTACTTATAATCATGTCATACTGGAAACAGTCTAAATATCAATGGTGAATGTGTACACAAATAGTGGCATACTCATACAATAGAATATTGCTGAGAAACTTAAAATGGATGAACTAAGCCTGGCTCGGTGGCTCAGCCTGTAATCCTGCACCTTTGGGAGGCTGAGGTGAGTGGATTGCCTGAGCCCGCAGGTTCGAGACCCGCCTGGGCAGGCGAGACCTCATCTCTACAATAAATCAAAAAATCAGCTGGGCGTGGTAGTGCGCCTGTAATTCTGGCTACTCGGGAAGGCTGAGGCAGAAGGATTGCCGGAGACCAGCAGGTCGAGGCTGCGGTGGCCGGGTGCGGCCACTGCACTCCAGTCTGGATGACAGAGCGAGACTCCAACTCAAAAAAATAAAAAATAAAAAACAAAAAAAATGGATGAACTATTGATGCATGCAACATGGATGAAACTCAAAATAATTTTCTTGAATGAAAGCAAGCATATATTATGATTCCACTTATACAAAATGGGGATGGAAGCATATTTTACCAAACTTAAAAACTTGTAAGATAAAAAAAAAGATTATTAGAGTGTTGTACACATGAGAGATAACCAACCAATACATTACACACATACAAGATATTATTGAGAGCATTTTCAATGAAGTAATATAATTTCATTTTTCAGTCATTTTCTAACAAAGTATTCCTGGAACTAGATCATCATCCCTCTTATGGCTAATATTTATTGAGTGTTTATTATGTATTGGATTGGCTATTTAAGTCACAAGAACAACCTCATGGCATAGGTACTATCATTTTACAGATGAAGCTGAGACCTAGGAGAGCAGCAACTTGGTCTGACAAGAAGAGAGCTTCATTTAGAAGCAGGAAAACTGAATTTCTGGTCTTGGTTCTTGAGGCTGTGGGAGTGTCTTTAATTCTTCTATCTCAGCCAGGCTTGGTGGCTCAGCCTGTAATCCCGCGCCTTGGGAGGCTGAGGTGGGTGGATTGCCTGAGCCTGCGGGTTCAAGACTCGCCTGGGCAACTTGACGAGACCTCATCTCTACAATAAATCAAAAAATTAGCGGGGCATGGTAGCACATGCCTGTAGTTCCAGCCACTTGTAAGACTGAGGCGGAAGGATCGCCGGAGCCCAGCAGGTCGAGACTGCGGTGGCCGGGAGCGGCCACTGCACTCCAGTCTGGGCAACAAAGACTCCAACTCAAAAATCCTTCTATCTCTATTATCAAGTACCAAGAACAACTACTCGGTTTATTGCATAAAACTCTTGTGATGACCAAGTGTGATTATGTGAAACCACTTTATAAACTTAAAGTATTAATGATCTTCTATGGAAAACTATATAAACAAAAATATCTTGGAAAGTAATTTTTTTTATTTTTTATTTTATTTTTTGAGTTGGAGTCTCACTTTGTCGTCCAGACTGGAGTGCAGGGGCCGCTCCCGGCCACCGGAGCCTCGACCTGCTGGGCTCCAGAGATCCTTTTGCCTCAGCCTTCCGAGTAGCCGGAATTACAGGCGTCTGCTACCACGCCCAGCTGATTTTTTGATTTATTGTAGAGATGAGGTCTCGCATGCCCAGGCGGGTCTCGGACCCGCAGGCTCAGGCAATCCACTCACTTCAGCCTCCCAAAGGCGCGGGATTACAGGCTGAGCCACCGAGCCCGGCTCGGAAAGGTAATTTAAAGAAAGTTGTGGGAAAGATAAAATAATACTATGCTAAGACCTTTTGTATTTTCTCATTGCCCTTACACTAGTTTAAAACATTTTAAATTTAGATGCTTAAACACCTAAATACCAAATATTTACAGAAATGTGTCTGAAAAAATTATGTAGCTGTTTGTCTATATTAATGTTTATCATTAATGGAGTTGTATTACATTCTACTCTTCTCAACATTTTAATAATAAATGCATGACAATAAATTGTTATTTTTTAATATTTTAATTATCATTGCAATTTGGCAGTAAAAATCACTTTTCGCTAAGATATTACATGCATATTAATAAATCAATCTTTAATCATTCATCTTGTATTTCCATTTTTCCTGGTAGCTTTGTAAGAATCCATGACTTCAGTTTTTCTAGCTCGATTTTGCTTAACTCATGGTAAATATCTGGAATACTGTGAAACTTTGTGTTTACTCCTAGAGATTTTAACATAGAATTTGTCTCTTCACCCCAAGAATGAAGAACTAACTCATCTGCAGTACCATGACACTGAAATAATTCAGGAAGTACACCATCACTTTTCTGAAGTGCCTAGAGAAGAGACAAAAGTGGAAAAGTTTAAGAAATTCCATTAAAGAAGATTATTCTCAGAAATCAGAGAGGGCAGGGAAATTCTATTTTTCTAATGTTACCAAAGCTTCAATAACTAAAGGAAGAAAAGAGGCAGAAGTGGTGTCATTTCAGATATACATTGCTGGGTCAGGCCTGGGGGCTTGGTTGGTTGTTGACACCACTTGAACTGTAGTTTTATGTGACTTGCATTTACTCTATAGAGGGTTTTCTCAAAAATGGCCAAAGCATCTCCTGAAGAAAGTGAGTGACTTGGGAAGACAGACCTCTTCCCAAAGAGTGGAAGGAGGGAGGAGTACAAGAGCTAAGGCACACAATCAAGGGGAAAAATCACATTCTAGTTCTCAGTTTGTATCTGCTTTATTATAATTTCCACTTCTGGTAATGAAGCTGCAACATTATAATGGGTCATATTCATAAATTAGGATATGGCTGCAAAATAAGTATCTGCTAAATCAAACTAATTTTTGTTTGACTATGTTCATGATAGGCAAACTTGGCTATGATAATGTATTTTTAATATGTATAAAAGATACAAGGAGGAAATCCTAAAACTCCTGGGATTTATTTATAAAAAATTGCGCAGTTATTCTTACATGTTTAAACTTCAGCCACCTTCAAAGTATTCTCTGTTTGATGTAATACACCTACAGATATACTTTTTTCCACTGTTCAAAACAGTTTTTGAGCTTGTCAGTTTTGATGCCTTCTGCATTTTGTGTTTCACCTCTTCCATATCAGCAAAATGTTTCCCTTTTCATACAGGGAAACCAAATTTAGTAGCTTGGGGCAAGATCAGGTGAGTAGTGAGGGTGGCGCACGGGGTCATGCCATTTTTGGTCAAAAACTGACAAACAATCTGGAGTGTGGGCAGGTGTGTTTTTCATAGTAGAGGAACCAATCACCTGTTTCGCACAGCTCGGGATGTTTCTTCCGCAAATTATGATACAACCTTCTCAAAAGTTCCAGATAAAAATTTTGGCTGACTGCTTGATCCAGAGGAACAAATTCTGGGAGTACTACAAGGGGCCTGCCCTCCAAAAGATAATTCTGGGTTTTTTGGGTCCCCTCTTGAATATGACACATACACACCCCCACACACATTTATTCTTTCCTCTTTGACATCTTGCTTAACAAGATTCTTTGTACAGGGCATTTCCAGAACATTAAAGATCAGTTGTAATTTAAACAGTTTGACTTATCTGGTCATGAATTCTAGAAATGCTCAATTTATGTCAACTGTGAAGTTTTTGTAGCTTAATTATCAATTTTGCTTCAGCTTCAACATATTTATGTTTCATGATTTTTTCAGTTTTGTGTTTTAAGATCTAGAACTTACCTGGTAAACAGCAGAAGCTTTATTCAGAAAACTAGAAAGAGCAAATACTCCTGCCACATCTCGATGATTTCTATATGCCAAATGCATTGCCATACATCCTCCCATAGAAAATCCTCCTAAAAGCAAAAATACACTAATCAGAAAAAGCAGAATACACGAAATAACAGTTCACAAGATATGTCTGTAAACAATCTTCCATAAATGTTTGTAAGATATGTGAAAACCTTTAAAGAGATATAGTGCTAAAAAAGAAATTTAGTCTACTTTAGGTCTCAAGTAAATAACCCTGTTCCATGTATGTCACCACTTGTACAGAGATCTGTGTTATAAAAGGAGCTATAACTGAACAAAGAAATTGTGTTCACCAAGTAAAAAATATTTATAATTCAAAACGAGTCATAGTATAAGCAAAATTTAGTTAAACTTCTAACATCTACTTATATTTTGTTTATACTTACAGAAATCCTCACACCAGAACAGCAATTAATAACATGTACCATGCCAGGCTCGGTGGCTCGCCTGTAATCCCGCGCCTTTGGGAGGCTGAGGTGAGTGGATTGCCTGAGCCCATGGGTTCGAGATCCACCTGGGCAACTTGGCGAGACCTCATCTCC